CCAACTTTTACATAGGAATATATAGGACAAATCTTTAAAATTCTTCTTCTCTTGAACCACTGGGTCAGGAAAGATGAAACTCATGTGGAATCATCCTCAGGTAGTGTAGATTGAAGTTTGTTCAAATCATGACCCTTGGGCAAGGATGGGGCCAAAAAAGCCGACCCAAATTTACATAGGAATATATAGGAAAATCTTCTTCTCCAGAACCACTGGGCCAGGAAAGATGAAACACATGTGGAATAATCATCAGGTAGTGCAGATTCAAGTTTGTTCAAATCATGACCCCCGAGGCTATGGTGGGGACAAAATAGCCGACCAAAGTTTTACATAAGGATATATAGGGAAACCTTTTAAAATCTTCTTTCAAGTACTTCAAAGCTATGATTAGTGATTTTTATATAGAATCATCCTCATGACAGCCTGTAGGGGGCGGGGGGAGTAAATTCAAGCCCGATGTGCTCAGGTGAGCGCTGTGGCCCCTGGGCCTCTTGTTTTTTATTCGGAATTAGATACATTTAATGCTTTTATACCAGGAAAAAGTAAAATAAAATTTTTAGGTAAAAAAATAAGCCGATTATTCAATAAAAACATTCAACTTAAATGATCACGGAATGGTCACTGAAATGTATGTGCCAATCAGTCGACTAAATGGTAAGTGAATGATCACGGAAAGGTCACGGGAAAGGGTCTTTTCAGTGACCTTTCAGTGACATTTCCATATCCTTATTCGATACGATGTTACGATGATACGATGTCTGACTTATAGTGCTAAAATTATTCGTGACTCTAAAGAAAAGACAGATATAAATATATTTTTTTAAAATAATACAATGTATCTTATTACAACTACCAATTCACCCTTACATGGAAGTGTGAAAACAAATTATTTGTCTTTGTTCCGTCATGTGTAAATTCCAATGAGGGTCTAGGAGATAATTGATTATGCAATGTAAAGCCCTGCTGTTTAAGTGCTTTGTATTTTATAATTGAAAGACGATATAATTTTTCAATAAAAATCTAAATTATAGAAAAATTTGTGCGTTTAGATTTTCAAATGATCACAGGTCTTTCTGGGTCGGCAAGATTTTTACTTTGTTGCATGCATAAGATTTGAATCGTTACAGTGTCTCAGAAAATTTTGCTGTGTGGGGAGCAACACAGTCGAAAAGCTCATGGATCACCCATACATTTACATCAATATAACGTTAAGGTTTCTTAACCTAGTTTTCAAACTTCAAACTGCTTAAGGACAGATGATAAAAGCAAATCTTTTCTTCGGAAGTGACTTAATAACATGTCACAAGTTTAGAAAAGTGGATAATCATTAGAATTTTTTATTCTTAGAACTTGACAAATATACAAGACTTATTAGAAATATTAGCAATATTTCATTTAAAAAACAAAAATAGACAAATCACATTAAGTAAAGGTTTAGTGATAAAAACAAATTCCAGAATATGTTATCTTGGTGCTAAAAGTGAAATATAAACTTAGAAAAATATACCAATCCAGGTGATTTTCAGGAAGAAAAACAAAATGACAAAATTTCATCAATACCATATATGAAATTTTCCATCATTTGGCTTTTCCTGATAAAATTCACCTGGCTTGGCATGCATGTACTTTTCTAATTAAACATATTCTAAAATTCATTTTTATCTGTATGTCACAGGGTGAATAAATTATTATTATAATAAATACTATATAATTTATTCATTAATAATTTGTGACCTAATATATTAATAATTTCATTTCCATCATTATCATTTTCATCTATTATACAGCATAGTGAATTACAGTACTCTGGAATTTACTATGTGTTCAGTCATTCATAAAGACATTCATTGATATTCATGGGGTTGAATGCTCATTGGTTGGTTTGAGAGTGTGAAAGGTCAAAGGTGTTTGTGTCAGAATGGGTGCGGTTTGAAGGTGTATGATTGGTTGATATTTCAGTGTGAGAAGTGTGTGAGTGGTTTTACTAGTTTGGTACCAAATACGCATGCTTGGCGCCAAACACCCTTAATAACTCACTCCACCCTAAGACAGCCAGGAGGAAGGATGAATTTATCTCCTCTCCAAATATAAAGTCTCTCATTTATGATTAATGAAGACGATGTAATATCTGTCTAATCGGTAAGAATTAATTTACCACTGTTGCTCTGAATGTATTAAACACCTTATCAATTAATTATCTAATTAATCGGAACAGTTAAAGTAATCTAAAAGAATTAAATGTGTGAGTGTAAGTGTATGAGTGTATTCATTTATATTTACAGGTCACCTTTAATTATTATTCTTGTAATATCCATCATCAATAGTAATTGATACATCATAGATAAAGAAAAGAACCCACCAGCTGTGTTATTGTTGTCTATTAATGGAGTTTTAGATAAAATACGGCTGTGACAATGGCGCCCAACCGTGTGATTTCAATTACAAAAGAATCTATATTTATAAGGTGATTCGATCTTAACGGTGGAAAAATCATCAATCCATTTATTCATTCTTCTTTTATTATCATTCATTATGTGAATTCACCATTTCAACACTGTGTTTTGTGTTTGTGAGTTTTACTCAGAGGCCTAACTTCTTCGGAGAATGTACCGTTATGCCCCGTGCACTTAATCTACATATTTGTGACGTCACAGACACATGAACCTAGGTTACTTTCGTTTTCGCTGGATATCCGAGGATCTTCACCGCTGGAACTCGTTTTCTGGACGACACTGGACCAATGACTGTTTTCCACGGATTCTGTGACTTTATTTAACTCTTAATCTTAATATTTTCATTGTGTTTGTTTAAATTGCATTCTGTGATATATTGTTTATTTTCATGTGCATGGTATGAACGTTGCATGACGAGTGTGTAAAATTTCTAAAAGTTAATAGTATCACTTAAACAGTTAAAGTAAGTAATTTATAGCAATACAGTTATTGACATTCATAACATCCCTGCATGTTTCTTAACAAGATGCACTACTAACAACAGGTACTTAATCACGATTGTGTTTTGAAAGATAGAGGAAATTCCAGTTAGCAGGTGCGAGGTGAGAAATAGAGTATAGCTGTTGTCAGGAGAACCTGGTACTAAAATTAGGTGTCATATTCAGTTCATATCTCAGCTTATATCATCATCAAATCATATCATACAAATCTGTCATCAAACATTAACCAGTCTAATTGAATTTTTGTGTTTTGCAGGTGCTACTTGTTATAGGGTACAGTACCTATTGCCAGCTGATTTATCTGATTACTTTAGCGTGATCTTTACTTAATAATTTGTTGCAGGTATTCCAATTTTTGCAGGAAAAGAAGAAGTGAAAGCATTGTTTATTTTCATATTTTTCATTATTTAGTTTATTTGTATTTAATTGTAAATTTTCCTTTGTTCATCTAGGTATATATGAGCAACAGCAAATTATTGAAGTATTTAGAAAGACCAATCATATCCAAGTCTGTATTTAGTAGATCAATATTAATTAGTGATAGTAAGGGTTATTATTTAAAGAAACATTTAGATTTGTTGAAACATAATAGATTATTTGTGCAATTTGAATGTAGACCAGGAGCTCGTTTCGCCGATTTCTATCCGTGGCTGAAAAGAAATTTACCGGGTCTTGTACAGCAATACGGCCAGATTACGCTTTATATTTGGCTGGGAACTTGCGATATTACCCAGAAGTCTGGAAAATGTATTGATTTAAGGTACGTAAATTCTGCTTTGTGTGTACAAAATATCATTCATTATATTGATTTGTTTGTATCTTTTATCAATCAGTTCAAAGAGGTTACACCTGTATTTTTGGACATTCCTCCATATTCAATTGTGGAATGGAATAAAACAAAATTTCACAGTAATCCTGAAAATTTCAAAGATCAAGACAAAACTTTGAATGAAATCATTGGCATCCTGAATGATTACATCAGGAATGTAAATTCTACTTATCGTGTTTCTGGGCCTAGATTTAAACTTGATTTATTGAAATACAGGAAAGAAAAAGGCAAGTGCCAACGTATTTCATACAATTTTCAGTTGTACATAGATGGAGTTCATCCAGGCTCTTTGTTAGGAAGAGTATGGTTGAAAAGACTGATTGAATACATTTTTATTAATTCATCATAATGTTTACTTAGATACTGTTATGTTTTATTGGTGCATTATTCCGAGGCAGGTTCGTCTCTGTTGGTAGGGACAGACCCAATCACAGAAAATATCCCTGTTTCATATAAATTGTACCATAGATTTTATTGTCAGATATACATATACATGTCTCACTGCTAGGTCAATATTGGAAGGGACTGACCCAATCATATAAACATACCTGTGCAGTTGTTACTTGTATATTGTATAAAATTAAGTAGTCATTAGTTTTATCAATCTTAGATTATGGCTACTGGAAACGATAAAGGTAATGGTGATGGTACAGGTGAAGAAGGGGAAGAAATTTCTATTAAACAGCACATAGATGAAGTAAACAAAGATCCAAACTATAAGGTTCTAACAAAAGAGGAATATAAAATATTAGTAAATGCAGGTCTTAAACAAGAGCAAAAGACAAGTACTCCTTTTAAAAGTCCAGGTTGGCATCCATTTTCTCCAATGTCAAAGTTACTCAATACAATGGGTGATTCCAAAAACCTTGGTAATGTCTCCATGTTTCAAGGTAATCAATATCCCACCCCTAAATTACCAACATTTAGTGGAACAGATGAGCCACAGAAAGGGGAAGTTAGGTATGAGGTTTGGAATTTTGAAGTAAAGTGCTTACTAAATTCAAATCAGTACCCAGAACATATTCTACTTCAAGCCGTGAGAAATTCTCTGAAAGGTTTAGCTAGAAGTATGTTAGTGTCAGTTGGGGATAAAGCTTCTATCCAAGACATTTTGAGAAAATTAGATGGATTTTTTGGCAATGTCGCCTCAGGCGAAAAGCTGATGCAGTCATTCTACAATGATTGTCAAAAAGAGGGGGAATCTATTGTTGTATATGCTTCTAGATTAGAAGACACATTATCAAAAGCGATCAAATTTGGTCACATTGGGAACGAAGCTAGAGATGGGATGTTAAGAAGCAAATTTTGGACTGGTTTAAGTAATCAACAATTAAAACAAAGCACAAGACATCTGTTTGACACTATTAAAAATTTTGAATCTTTGCTTAGGGAAATCAGAAAAGTGCAAGAGGAGATAACATCTCAAAGGAGTACAGGGACAACAAAGCAAGCAAGACAGGCATTCCAACAAGCAGAGAGAGCAGAGACTACACCATCATCAGACCTGCAGAAAGAATTACAGACAATAGTAAGAACAATGGAAAGGTTAGAACAGAAAATTGACAGTAATACAAAAAGTTTCCAACAATTGAACAAAAGAGTTTATGACTTAGAAATTAATACACAGAGACAACAAAGTTTTTATTCAAATAGAGGTACATTTACAAGGGGTAGATTCAACTACTCAAACAGAGGTTTTGGTCGAGGTCGTGGTCAAAGTCAAGGTCAAATTCAAGGTCAAAACCAAGGTCAAAGCCAAGGTCAGAGTCAGGGTCAAATCAATATAAACCATCCCAAGTTGGACAGAATTCAAAAAAATACTAACCTCTTCTATTGAAGGGCAGATGGAGGAGGAAAACAAGGTTCAGGAAAGCCCTGTTATTAGAAACACAAATTCTGAATCTAAAAATTTGTTATCAAGAATGGTTGGACATCAGAATGAAAGTGTCATATTTGTAAATAGTGTAGAAACAAAAGCTTTGATTGATACTGGATCAATGGTCACTTGTATGTCTGAAAATTTTTACCAATCTTTACAAAACAAACCAGAGTTGCATAATATAGAAGACTTTGAACTCAAAGTTTATAGTGCAGAAGGGAATTCTTTACCATTTTCTGGATATATTGAAGTAGAATTACAAATTCCATTTTTGTCCTTGAATCCTTTTTATGTACCAGTTCTAGTTACAAAAGGAACTGAATACAACAGTAAAGTTCCTGTTATTGTGGGTACAAATGTAATAAGGTTATGTAAAGATTATTATGCAAACTCAGAACATACAAATGTTCCAGAAGAATGGAAATTAGCATTTGCAAATCTTAGTGTAAACAATGATATTCCTGTAAAGACCACTAACAAATATTCAATTACAGTTGGTCCTTATGAGGTAAAAACTATTTCAGGAATAGTCAAGTCTTGCAACAGCATGCAGGTAAGTGCCGCTATCACAGAACAAATTGAAAACCAATCAAATAACAGCAGTCTTTTAGTATGTCCAAGAGTAGTATCACTCAAAAATGGGAAGACCTCAAGAATTCCGATAAGGGTATGTAACATGTCAGCACGACCAATCAAAGTGTCACCAAAGTCCCTTATTTGTAAATTAAGTTCTGTAAAAGTAGTAGATGCTTGGGAACCTTCAACATCAAATGATTCTAGGGATAAATCAGAACTAGACCTATTAGAATTAGGGGTGAAAATTAATGAAAACAAATTATCCCCTGATCAAGTTGAGAGTTGTCACCAATTTTTGAACAAATGGAAACATATTTTCTCTACTTCTTTGAAAGATATAGGTAGAACAGACTTAGTGGAGCATGAAATTATCTTATCAGATAATACTCCATTTAAGGAACCCTATAGACGAATACCTCCAGGAATGTATAAAGAGGTAAGACAACACCTTAAAGAAATGTTAGAGGCAGATGCCATAAGAGAATCAAAAAGTCCATATTGTTCAAATGTTGTACTTGCTAGAAAGTCAGATGGTTCTTTAAGATTTTGTATTGATTTAAGAAAGTTCAATAACAAAACCATCAAGGACGCTTACAATCTCCCAAGAGTTGAGGAAACCATAGACACTCTTATTGGTAGTAAGTACTTTACAAAGTTAGATCTTAGGTCAGGATACTGGCAGGTAGAAATCAAGGAAGAAGATAAACACAAAACAGCGTTTTCATTAGGTCCCCTTGGATTTTATGAGTGTAACCGCATGGCTTTTGGTTTAACAAATGCTCCCGCCACATTTCAGCGGTTAATGGAGAATTGTATGGGGGAAATGAATTTAAAACAGTGTTTAATATTTTTAGATGACATCCTTGTTTTTTCTTCGACATTTGAAGAACATTTAGAAAGATTAGAAGGTGTATTTAAGAGACTAGAAAAACACAATTTAAAGTTGAAACCTTCAAAATGTGAATTTTTCATGTCTGAAGTGAAGTATTTAGGACATGTTGTATCAGAGAAGGGAATACATACAGATCCCGACAAAATTTTAGCATTAAAAACATGGCCAGTTCCTAAAGATATAAAATCTCTACGTTCTTTTCTAGGATTTACAGGCTACTACCGAAGATTTGTCAAAGATTATGCCAGATTAGTAAGACCTCTTAATGACTTATTAGGTGGACATCCGACTAATAAGAAGTCCAAGACAAGTAAGAAAAAGAAGACTCCTTGGGTATGGGGTAAGAAAGAACAACAGTCATTTGAAACATTGATAGAGAAACTTACCTCACCTCCAATATTAGCATTTGCAGACTTTTCAAAGCCATTTATTGTTAATATTGATGCTTCAAAGGAAGGTTTAGGGGCAGTATTATACCAAAATCAAGGAGGTTTAGATAGAGTAATTGCCTATGCCAGTAGAGGACTACGGTCAAGTGAGCAAAATTATCCTGCCCACAAATTGGAATTTTTATGTTTAAAATGGGCATTATGTGACAAATTTCACGACTACTTATATGATTGCGCCCATGTGAAAAGGGTCCTTATGGCAATTTTTATGCATTTTGAGTTTTTCACGGATTCTGATAGAGTAAGGTTAGAAGTTATCAAATATGAATTTTTATAGTCGTACGTCTACTCTAAGTAGGTTTTTTCTTCATTTTTATCAAATATACTTTAACAGGTTAATAATGACGTCATGTTTTTCAACAACGTCAAACGTTTTCAGAGTGAACGTTAAATGATTTTCTTCTGTAATTTTACTACGGTGATTAAAAGTTGTATAATATTTGATATTTTTCGAATCCATGCACATTTTTTCATCTCATTGTCTCTTTTAATTATTAATAATTATTTAATAGTTATATATATAATGGATTCATCAGTGGTGTATAGTATTATGAGTGAGTGTTTGTTTTACATTTCACTTTTCTATGACACCAGGGGGAAACCTGAACAGCGGACAACATCCATTCTTTTTTTTTTTTTTTTTTTTTTTTGAAATAATTATTTTCTCAAACAAAATATTTACTGGTAATCCATGCAAGAGTCATTTGATAAGCCTTTAGAATTCATTTGAAAATTATTTTAATTTAAACATTGCTCTCGATAGGTCTAGATTTCAGCATAAACGATATATCTTTAGTTACCATATATGTGAAAATTTTAAAAATTACAACATTACGCTACCTAAATGCTACTGCGAAGTGAAAATTTATTTGATTGTTCTTTCTTTCTAAATTTTAAATAAAGACAGAAAAATTGTGAAGTGTTGTACATGTAACATGTAATCACGATACACAATAGACAGTAAATAAAAAGGAAATACGGTTGATTCACTGCATCTATAAGGTTGTCTGTCTGCATTGGCTCAATAATGACACTGCTTTCTTGAAAATATAAAGGATACACGAAATATTTTTTCAGTCTAGCAGTAGAAATATTTTAATAGTAACCAATCAAACAGGTGGAAATTTTACAAACAAATGAATGATTTATAATCCGCAATCATTTACACAATAGATAAACACAGGATTAACATTTGTAGGATTTTGTGTATGTTGGTGAAAGGGGGGGGGGTAAAAAATCTAAATGGCAGAAACTTACAATTCTTGTGAATACGAGTTAAAATAAATAAAAAAATTATTTTTTTTATTTACTATAAAAGTTTAAGGTGCACCCAGTACCATTAACCCAACAACTTGCAGATTCACTTTTTATTTAGGTTTGAAACAATGCTGCCTCTTATTCTTCATTTTATATTTTTGTACCTTTAATTATCAGCATTGCCATCGCACAGCTATCATAAACACTATGAGCCTGGAGCTGAATTGCTATGAATTCAGTATTGTTAATCATGTATATAATGATACCCTAAAATTAAAAAATCTGGTTTTATTTTATGAAATGGATGGTTTTAGAAGCACACACATAGAATTAAATTAAAGATGCGATTTACGGTTTATATGTATAGCTTTTGTTGGGGTAGGGTTGGGTTAAAGATTGATAACATGTAATGGTTTATGCCTAAATATACAGTCAGTTGAATATGACTGTTTTGTATAATATATTTACTGACAATTGTCTGTGAAGTGGCTGAGCTTTGAAATGTCAGATTTTTGTAGGGATGTAAACATCTTAGAAAATTATCATATTATTTATGACCTAATTAAAAAAAATCCCCTTCATTCTAATGTTGTTTTCTAATTTTTTTTTTCTATAAAGTGAGTTTTAAAGAGTATGAATTCCATTCTGGTCCCGTGCCCAGGGACATAGCAACTGGGGGGAGTGGGGGGGGGGGGCAGGGGGTCTTGCCCTTCACTTTTTTTTCCACCTTACTTATCCTATAGGAATTGATAATTGAAAGTCTGGTTGCCCCCCCCTCCCGCCTCCTATTAGTGATGTATGATAAACGTCGTATAAAAATTGGTACTGAAAAAAGTTGGCCTCTAACCCACCCACCCCCTCCCCACGAAATAGGATTTTCGACTTTGTGCAACATTAACCTTTTTGTTTGCTTGTCAACTTGTTCAGAGAAGTAAAAAAAATTCTCTGGCTGCCCCCCCCCCTACTTTCAAAAACGATGCTACGTGCCTGGTGCCAGAAGCTTGGATATGCTAAGCCATGTAAAGCCTACATGTTACGGAAATATATAAGGACACCCTCACCCCCATCCCCTGCACTGCAGCCAAAATAAAACAAAATGCAAGCATATTGTTGCGGTTTTATGTCATGTATTTTCAGCATTGAATTTTATTTTCTTTTAGCATTTACAAGTAGAAATAAAACCCGACCCTGAACTTATAAAGATTTTTTTTTCAACCAAAACAAAAAAATAATTTTTGAGCATATTTAATAATATTTAATCCATAATTTGATGGCAGGTTAAACAATATATTATTCCACACTGATAACTGCAACGAGATTCTAAGTTGAGTGATGATTGAGTTATTAGCATGATAATTGATCTGTTAAGAGACATTTAATTAATGCTGATCGAGTTTTTATGAAAGACAAAGTTCAGCATGGCTTAAAGAATTAATTTGCAGATAATGCTTAAAACATTTGAACTCCGAATGAACAGGGGCGTAGCAACAGGGACCCCAGGGGGGGGGGGGGGCTGCCCCCCCCATTTTTTCCCCAACCTTACTTATACTATAGAAAATGTTAATTGAGAGCCTGGTTGCCCCCCCCCCCCCCCACTGTTAAATTTTTAATGATGTACCGAAAATGTAGTAGTAGAATTGATACTGTAAGTAATGACATTGAAAAAGTTTAATTTCTCTAAATTGAGGTGTCTTTGTGCAACAAGAATATAAGACAAAACAACATTTATTAATTTTAATTTATTTAATCATGATTATAAGGTAGACGCTTTACATGTTTATTATTTTTTAAAATATGAAATTCGTCATGAAATTATTTTTTGCAAAAAAAAAAAAAAAAAAGCTATAGGCCTAGATAAGAGATTTGAAAAAAAAAGTCTTTTCAATTTTGCAGTTTTCTTTTTTTTTTCTTCTTTGTTTTTCCTTCTTCTACATTAACCTTATTCCCAAAGTACAACGTTCTTTTATTTAAAAAATTATAATTATGATGACGATTAAAAGTTTTTTTACTTGGTCATAAAATATCTCTTTTATAATCCGGGCGAAAATTCATGCGAACATGCAGCTGAAATGTGAAAAAGTACGCAATTAAAATAATGAATGTCCCTGTCTGGTACCCCTGTTACATCGATTGTTGACATCAGAGTTATCTTTCC